TTTACGATAGTCACAATTGCGTGCAATAACGCGCGATGAATTAATAATGTATTTTGAAAATATAAATTTGCATATATGTAAATGTTTGCGCACATATGTTAAATTTTCTCTAACTTTTCACNTTAAAATTTTATGCACGTTGCATTGATATATGCGATTTAAATAAAATCAAACCAATGTTTTATCTCAAATTCTTTGTGTATATATTCGTAAATTTTATTTTATTGCTTATATAATACTTTTTAGCTTAGTTTATTTTATTTCATACAGGAAAGCCAGTCGGGAGCATTACCCCTGTGGGCACTACACGATGAGGACAGTGAGCTGCAGGAACATGGACAATTTAAAGAGTAAGGCAATTTTTTCACTTGACAATACTCTTATCCACACCTACTTTCATCACCCTACATTTAATTACTACCTATCTATTTTGTGTACTTTTATTTAACTCGGTAGTGTTACTTTGCGCTGCGCTGACCACAGCATTAAATTTATCGCAACAATTGATTCTTTTCAATTCCAATGTTATCTTATTTTGAAGATGATGCAATACTGAATCAATCAAATAAACTTTTTCCATACACCATCTGAGGCTCATATTGGCTCTTTTCTTTTTCTTTGGATTGCTTTTCAATTTTTGTATTATTATTAGACGACACAAAGAAAATGAGAAAGTTAACGTTTGATAGTTTCAAAATAACTTATTTTTATAATATTCATGTAGAATAATTTATTATTTGTAATTAATTATTTGTAATATTTATATACATACGTGGAGCAATTAAAACGGAACATCCTGTATATACATTATTTAAGTTTTACATATAAATATTGTTTCTACAATCATATGCAATGAGGTTTGCGTACAAAATATTACAAAAAAAAATTAAATACTTTTTAAATGTATATTTTTCAATTCTCTATTTGTGTATATATAAAATTTGTGTATATATAAATTGTATTTTACATATTCTCATACATTTTTTTCCCAATTGTTTTGTGGTAAAAGTCACTCCTGAGACATGTCGATATATGATGTCAAACGCACGAAAAAGATTCCATTTCGCGTAATTCGTGAATCCCATCTCGAAATAGTTTGACGATTTGGTGATCGGTAATTTTAGTTCAAGGTGTAGGTTGAATGACGCAAATCGAGGCCGCTCGAAAAACAGGAAACTCACCGTCGGACTTTCCGCCGCTCACCTATTTTCAAAATCATTTTCTTTTTTTTTCTCATTTCTGCACAAGGCGTATCGTGTTATCTCTAAATATTTTATATTTTATGTTTTCCTAAATAATCAAATTATGCTCGCGCTTGACACAGCTCTTCTTTTTTACGATTGTGCATATTCTCCGCAATCCAATTTCCTGTCGTGTTCGTTGTTTATTTCCGTCATTGTGACAGAGAGACGAAAAAAATCTACAAATATCGAGAAACCTGCAACGCGGTTTGCAGAATTTGTAACACGAATTTGCACTGTGGGAAATCAGGTCTCGTCATTTTCCGCGCGTATTTCCTCTCGCTCGGTTTTGCTCCCATGTCGTTTTCCAAATACACGTAATGACACCTGCAGTAACAGCTCTCGATTCTTGTGGCACCGGGAAATTGTTAGTTTTTAAATGGGATTACCGATGTAACAATTCCGTATCTGAATAAATGCATTTGCTCGGCAAGTAAATGTTGCCAAACACATTACCAAACACACGATTGTAAGAGCAAACCGTTTTTCTCGGATAAAAAGAAGCTCAGATAAAATATTAATCATCCGATTAAAAGACTTGCATATATTTTTATATAAGTTTCTTTCAATTGCATTTCTATATTTATGTGAATCTTTCAGCTTATCTTTGAGGACTGTTACAAAATTGCGCGAAAATTTATAGAAAATAGATAGTAATTGTAAATTTTTGAGAAAATTTTCTTTGATAATTGCGTGAGTATGTGTAAGTTACAACTCAACATAAATAAAGCGATCGTGGAGAGAGAAAAAGCGTATTAACTTAGTATTAGTATTTGCGATAACAATAAGACATTTGTTATCCGCAAAGAATACGAAAAGAGTACGATTGATAATTATCCGAAACGACGCATAGATACCGTCAATAGTGTCACATTGCTGTTGTCGTTGACAAGTTTCATTCTTCAGAAGAACAAAAATATTAAACGGCTAATTATCGCACGTTTTCTTTGCGCGACAATTTGTTGAGAGTAGACGCTCTCGGTGATTTTTGACAATGTACCATCTCACGCTTCAACTTGTAGCCAAAATTGACCAGTTGATCCTCGTAATGCTGCCTCATTTGCTTTATTCGCCAGATATAGCCATTTGTTTTCGAATCTGAAATAATGGCTCGGTAGAAAGAAATTTCCAAACAACACAATGAGGTCATGGATGCCATAAATTACTTTGGCAGTTTACACGAACAACATTACGTGCGATGACGAGCCAGCATTCGACATTTGTTCTTCTGAACAATGAAAGAACGACAACACAGTAACGTGATATCACTATGCCGCTATTTATGTATCGTTTCGAATACTTATCAATCGCCCTATATATGTATTAATATTGCGCAACGCATTGCTCCGACGTTATTGTTTTCACTTGTAAATGAATTGACACGACAAAATTTTAATTTTATCTAATATACAATGTAGTGAAAAACTACTTCGGTGGGAATATTCTCGCGGCGTATCGTCAGCAAGAATGCGAGTTTGGGCGACTTGGCTTTCCCGCATCTGCGAAATAACCGACGAGTGGCAGAAATGTCTTCGAAGTAACGCTGATCTGATGACATCGATGTTCGAACAGATACGAAAGAGGAAGAAAATCGTTTCGGAAGAAGAGCCAAAAGAAGACTTGCACGTGAGTAGCAATGCTAATATTGTAAGATTTTTGCGATCTCAGTTAGTTTAAAAAAATAATTTTATTTACTTTCATAATTACAATATTCTTTATTTTAATTTTTACTTACACTTAGAACTCGCAAAGTATTAATTATAGGTGAGTAAACGGCACGTCCGAGATTATGATTAATTGACGATTGGTTATAGCAACTGACTCGCACAACTTGATGTAACTGACTGACTGCCGCGCTCTATTCGGGGGCGATACTTATACTTATTTTGGAAAAAGACCCTTGTACTCGAACTTTGTGTTTGAGGAAAAGATCTTTGTACTTGAACTTTGTGTTTGAGAAAAAAATCTTTGTACCGTTGTGAGAGAGAATCAAGATAATCATAAAAAAGATATTTAATGTATTACGTGTAATATGGTCACAATATCATGCTATATCGGCACTGAGAGAGATATATCGCGATCTAATACGACGCTTTTATTATATTCTTTTAATTGTATTTAGACTCTCTCTCTTTCTCTTATGGTAAATAGTAGAGAATTAGAATAATCTATTTTTTTCATTTTGTATTTTTCTTATTTTATTTTCTTTAAGTGCTATTACATATATTTGTGATTTAATTTCTTGAGATAAAAGTAAAAAATTCTGATAAAACAAGACTTTTTAAAAAAAATTTCATCAAAAACTTATATTGTTTAATTTTCTTTTCAAAACTCACGCTAGAACTTTAAAATTTACCGTATTAAAGAGTTAAATAGGTGGCTGGTCTAAGTTTCAGATTAATTTTTCGTTTGCTAAAACTTCGCTAAAAGTATTCAAAAGAATAAGATGTTTCTTGCTGTTTTCTTTTTTTTTTTTGAATCTGCACGCGATTTTTCTTTTTGTGTATCTTAGATAGTACGTATCTATATTATGTTGATATGATCGGACAACTGTGTAATAAGAAAGTATAAATGCTGTGCTCAACAACATAAAAGCATATATTCAAAACTTGACCGTATCAGTCACATTGGTTTACAAGTGAGATATGTTAAACATACGTGAAAAACCATGATACCGCATTGTTACAAGTATATAAAAGCTGTTATATAGCGGTATTATATTATTTATTGTTAGTAGTATTTATTGATTGAGTAGTATTATTATTATTTATTGTTATTGTATTATGTGGTCGTGTTATTAATTATATTTCGTTAAAGTATTTTCACAAAATTTATTGAATCGTTTTTGTGCGATCGGAATCCGGCGCGAATGTCCAGATTGCGAGTCGTCGATAGCACGCTCAAAGAACGCTGGACAAGCATCGCACGAGCGACCGGAAAAATGTAATGATCGGCGTTGCACTTTTTGAGAACCGGATGTTCGTAATCAGCCAATTACAAATTGGCTGATAGTTAAAAGGCAACGGTGCAGGTTCGGGGCAAAATCATTGTGAATCGCGTTGCCGCCGGAGGCTTCGTTCGACAGAGNGTCGGCTCGAGTGTCGTGTTACGTTAAATGTATCGAATACGTAACACAAATTAGTGAAATTTTAGAAAATCAAGTTATATTTTTAATCAATTAGTACAATTTATATTCTCTCTTTTTTTATTTTTTTTTGCCTGAATCTCGAATCCGGTAACAAAGCGTATCGCATTTTTAGTTACTTGCAGCGTTTCACATTNGTGATCTGTGAGAAAATTTGAAAAAGTTTAAATAAGAGAAGAGAATATCACTATATCATTATGTTCTAACTTTTAGAGAATATNATTATATTATATGTTTTTATCACTAAGATAATATAAAAATATAAGTAAAGCTGAATCGTATTTAGATAAGAAAATTTTTTTATTTTGATTTATGGTTATACATATATGTACGTACCGTCACCTAAATACTAGAGTATTCTACATTCATAAAAAATATATGAACATAAAACACTTTAGCACTAAGATGACGATATATTAATTTTTTCCACAAAATAGTAATAGTATAAAAAAAGTAATGGCATATACGTCGTGCATCGTAAAAGTTTTTATAATATAATAGAAAAGAAAGAATATAAACACACACTGGATAACGCATATTTTATATCTCAACGTGAGTATGTGTGTGTGTGTGTGTGTGTATTACATTATTAAATAATATTAATATACAGTAATACACACATGTAAAATTATTATTAAATTATTAAATATATATAAAAGCAATGAAAATGTCTAACTTTCAAAATTCTACAAATAACTGATATTGCATCCGGTATTTCATACCGGTTTCACATTGTAATTTTCTACTTGATTTGCAGAACACGAGAGATTGAGCACTGAATCGCCCAAAGTTTCCGTTTATTGTTTCGATAAAGCTGACGTCGATATTCGACGTCGACGTGAAAGAACAAGCAATATCTTGGAATGCTAAATCATAGATTATCCTAGATAGAGCGNGCTTTCTCTTTTCTCAACGTATATAATAATAATAAAGATCACGCAATGGTTCGCAATTAATATCCCGCGTATAACAAACACAGTTTGTCTTTGGAGTTTACGCACATTGTTACATGACGCGTGAAGGTTTTATCGAGAAAACTATAAATCGTTTAATATCCTTTCTTCTGAGCGCACAAAAATCTGATAAATTCGTGGATAATTGTTTTTTTTTTTTTTTTATTAACGGCGACATATTTACGACCNAAATGTAACTAAAAACAAACGGTTCGCGTGTTGCAATAAGAAAAATTATTAACATTCTGGGAATTATGATGCAATCGTAAGGAAAGAAACGCGAGTACGCTTGCTCGAAAATTTAGGTCAGAAAGAAGAATGTGATATTTGCCATCAATATTTGAAGACATTGTTTGCAAGGAGTACGGTATTGCGCGGTCTTTTCTCAAAATGGCAATATGGTACATTTCAATATCCACTAAGCCGTATTCTCCGTGATTTGACATACATATTTCTTCGCGAATCTTTAGCAATACATTTTTACGTTTCTTATACATTCATTTCTCTTTCCTCGCGTTTTCTTCTAAAAATCTATTTTTGGAACAAAAAAATTACATTTCGAAATGAGCACGAGCAACGAAAAATTACCAACTACTCAGCAAACTGTTTATTCGCCTCGTTTCTCTTCAAAGATCACTATCTAAGATTTCGTGATCTTTAATGCAGGAATGTTTATCTTTCGTTTCATAGGTAAACGCTAAGTCCGGCGAAAATCCTTGATAATATAATGCCAGCGGAAAAGAGAGAGAAAGAGAGAGAAATGTAGTTTTGTATGCACACTTGTACTACTGCGCACACAAGTGCAACGCATACCTATGTGTATAAATAACAAGATCGTAAAAATAAACAATTTATTACAACTAAGTAATTAGAGCCGATGCAAGCCGATATGTTGAACGTGCAATTATATGAATATATTTATTAACTTCTCTTAAACGTGTTAAATTATAAACACATGAAGAAATTTGAATTAAATCTAATTCGAAAATTCACATAAAATGCTTGCATCACGTATGTGAAATACGCAAAAGTTTACCATTCCATTAAATTAAAACATTTATTGCAAAAAAAAACACCTCGGCCAGAAGTCAAACTCAGGNGAATCTTTTGCATTCCGTGCAGACGTTTTCCCAATTCGGCGCTTTTCCAATTTCTCTGGTGAATTTTTCACAAGCTTTTAAATTGTTGTATAAAGAATTTATTGTATTTAGCTATTTGTATGGAGTTCGAGGATCAGGAGATCGCAAAAAGAGCCAGAGATATAATTCAGAAATTTTGTAGTTTGTTTTTATAAAATATACGTATATATATATATTTTGTAAAACAATGAATGGAGTGTAGAGGCCACTGAGAGCACGAAATACTGTTACGTGTGTTGTAACAATTTGTAAATAACGGAAATTTAAATTTTGATTCTCAACATTACATACGTTGCGACTATTTTAGCTCTATTTGCTTATCTGATTATTATTTATTANAACAATTTGTATTGAAAAATACCGAATCCCCNATCGAAATGTTTATATATTATTTATGAATTAATAAAAAATTGTTGTACAACACACAACCAACAGTGTTTCGTCCTCTCTCTACTCTCCACTCATTTTTTTAATTTGGAGCAACTTGCACATAAGTAATTTTATTTAAATTAATTACTATAGTAGTTTCTTCTACAATTTTTTATTTGCATCATTTATACTTCGCGTAAAGCNATATTTGCGGTAAGAGCGATGCTCTATCGTATAAGATTTCCGGCGGCAACGCGACTTTTGAACAACTCCGCTAATATACGCTCGAATTGCCTTTTATATACATCAGCCAATCGTTTGAGATTGGTTGATTAAGAACACGCGACATCCGGTTCCCGAAAAGTGCAATGTCGCTCTTGCGATGCTTGCCCATCGTCCTTGAGCGCGCTATCGGTTTTGCAATCTGCTAACTAGATATCCGCGCCAGATTCCAGTCGTAGAAAATGCTTGCAAAAAAAAAACTCGTGAAGACACATTTTTACACAAAAATAACTAAATTCCAAATTAATTAATAACACATAATAATACATGTAACAATGTTACATAATACATTCTGTTCTGCAACAATTGTTCCNATATTGCTGAAAATAACAGGATTGAATTAAATTGCCAACACGAGAAGTGCGATGCGATTATCAGGTCAGAAAGTGTAGGTACCCATTATTTCCGACGTAAGCGTAATCTCCGTGTAAAGCCGCGCTCATTGTTTCTAATGTCGGTCGTGAGTCATTCTTGGCATTTACGTTGTTCTAAACAGAGTTTATGTGGCCTTTATATAGAAGATTTCTAAGCGGGATATATTCCTGTTTTCTGCCGTTATACACGCACACTACAAGAGATTTTTGGTACATTTAATATAACGTATTAACTTTGGTTTATTTATTAACTCTCTCTCTCTCTCTCTCTCTCTCTCTCTCGCATTAAATCGTTTAAAGCCAGTTGTGAAATGTGACGCACTTAAACGTTTTATGCACGAGCATTTAGTTAAAATTGATCGATTATCATCTGATCGTTATTTTCAAAACCTGTCACGCTTTTAATTAAGAATCAAAGTGACAATATATCGCCTGATGTGAAACCAATGTGTTTTTTATATCTTGTGATTTCCGAAAAAAATCTAATCTAAAAGACATTTTCTTCTGCAAAGACAACCCCTTTTAATCGTAATCACCAGATGTTACGTCAATCATTTCTCTCAACCGGGGAGAAAAAAAGCTCTCATATTGAAGAAACTATCAAAGAACTTGTTGACGATATTTTATCAAGAGCCGAATTTTTTGAAATTAACAGCAATCGAATCGGAGCAATGAATGACGGATTGCCAGTGTCAAAAATTCGCGATACAACCGCGTNACAAATTTCGGTGATCGTGAAAAGAACGCTGATAATTTTTTTGCCAACATCTCTTTCACCGCGACAGCATTTCGCCACGTGTAATCTCGTCGTGGGTCAAGGATGGGTGACGACCTTTCGCAATTTGACACAGGGCGGCCTAAGAAGGGACACGAAGTGTGTCTTGACTTTTGTCTTACAAAGACACACGCTGCTACAAAATTTGTTCAACAGGGAAAAATAGAATAAACTTGAGAGAAATATTTTGAAGTAAATAAAAATTCGAAGTTTTTATCTTTCAGATTTTTTTCTTTAGTAAAATCATATTTTCTTAAAGTGTAAAACTTTAACGCCCGTTTTTCACCATCTTCGATTAACTTAATCGACAATTAAGTATATCAGTCCATGATTGGTCCATTCTGCTAAACGATTAATGCGACTGGCAATTTCAATGGAATAGAGAATCGGTCGATTAAGTTAATCGGAGATGGAGAAAACGGGCGTAAATCTTTGAGGTAATTACCATGCACATTTTACATAGACACACACACACACACACTTATCAAGAACTTGAAATTTCGTTCTCGCAAGAGTTAATGAATTGATACAAAGTAGAGAATTCTCGGATAATGCAAAACTAGATGTTCTTGTAGATTTAAATCAGTCATCTATTGTATCTTGAAGATTATAGTTTTTTTTCCTGGCTTTTCGTTGCATGAGCATGTAACTGGAAAATATTCACACGTGTCTCTCTGGGATGGAATTCCGTATAGAATCAGAATACAGTTGNGGAGTTCTTCATATTCATCAGTTTGCCCACGGATACAAATCCGTGCTGGCGCGCTTAATCTAGCGCATCATCTGACATACGGATTGCACGTGACGTTTCGAACATATTTCATTTCACCTGCAAGTCCAACATATAGGATGACTTGGCGATGTCTGTGCAATAGAGTATTGTCTTCAGGAATATTGGCTTTTGTTGAAGGAAAGACCGGTAGCGGTAGAGGAGCAAGTTACAGCAGCAGCGGTTACAATTGTCGAGACGACAGAGAGAGAGAGAGAGAGGGAGAGAGAGAGAGAGAGTCAAGTTGACTTAGTAGACGTAGGAGCGAAAGACAAAGTCGGAGTTTCTATTTCGTCATTTCGACCCGGATCAAACGGTAACGATTTGAGTAACTTTATCCGGGGAATCGCTCGGCCGCGTGTAATTCTTGTGCAACTGTAGATCTCGGCGCTTCAGAGAAGAGCAATCGAAGAGCTCCCAAGTNGCGTCTCTCACTCCTGGTCTTTCTCTGTCCCGATACGGTGCGACGATCTTTTGATATCGTTCTTTTTCTCTCTCCTTGTGCGCTTATTAGATAGATATAATAAATGTAACATAAGAGACCACACACACACACACACACAGCGAACCGAACTCATGTTCTGCGAGATCGTAGGGCGTCACAAAATATGCATACATTATTTTATACGATCCACCAATACCGTGTGCGTAAAAATGATGACCTCGCGTACAAAAATTAATTTTGCGTTCTTTATAAGTGTAAAATAATATTGTAATAATAATTGTACACATTAAACGCGTACTTGAGATTATATAAAGGAAAAATAAATTTTAAATGTGTATTTCAAAGATTTCAATTTTTATAACAGTGGCGCTTAATTTGCGCAGGTCTTGCCGATGACGAAAGACGAGATCAAGCTGTGGGACGATTTTCCGTATCAGGCTGCCTTGTACAGAACTCATTACAAGCATTGGAAGCNGATCGGTCAACGAGTAACTAATATGTCTCATAAAATATTTTATTTTTCATCTCGTGATACAAGAGATCGTACTGTTAATTCTGGCGAGCATCGGTTCTTTTTAACGCCCGCGGCGTACGTCTCGTTACTGGTTGTACGGAAATTGTATGAAATATTTCTCGGAGATATCGAATGACACACAGCCGCTTTACCGCGAAACAAGAGCGAAACGCGAGAGATTAACGCGCTCTGGAAAAAAACGTAATATTAAATTTATACAAGGGCGATAAAATAATAAATTTACGAGAAATAAATAAATAAAAATTCNGATATCTCAGCTGGCAAGCGGCAACCCTAATAGAGCTAGATGGTGCGGCGCGAAAGAAGAGTTTTGCGAAGAAAAGTTCCTGTCTTGTACAATTTATCTTACGTTTTCCCTCGCGCACACTTGTTGTTGCTGTACTTCCGCCATAACCGTCAGTCTCCCATNGTTGCATCGTTTATCAGCTGCTGTCTGGCAATCCGGAGTTAACATTATCGCGATCATCGATACTTCCACACCTTGTGATCAATCTTTGTTTGTTTGTTTGTTTTTTTTCGCAATACAGTCCTCGGCGAGAGTAGTCAACCGAATCGTGATAGACACGGAGTACGGAGCTGCGAGAAACGACGACGCAATACATATGATGGATATTTCGAGGCAGATTGCTCAATATTTAATGAGACAAGCTGAAAGCGNCGTCGCTCACCCGACAGAAGAGACGACAGAAGAAGCGTCTGAAGCTGTAACGGAGACGTCGATCGGGATTGATCCCACGACGGATGCACCTGAGCAAGATTTCGCCGATATGCCGTTGAGTAAAGCGTTATCGGACGATCAATCTGAGGAGGTTGTCGAGATTTCCGTAGCGGAAGAGACAAGCGAAACGGAGGCTAAATCTGCGAAGGAGGAAAAATCAAACGCGCGGGAGAAAGAACCAATGAGCGAAACGGCGATGGGAGAAACGCCGGCGAGCGAAACGGCAACGGGAGAAGAAATCCCGACGAGCGAAACAATGACGGGGGAAACGTCGGCGAACGAAACGGCAACGAAAGAAGAAATCNGGACGAGCGAAACGGCAACGGAAGAAGAAACACCGACGAGNAAAACCGCCGCGGCGATCGAAGTTGCGAAAGCAATAGAACCGTCAGTTTCTATANCGTCGTCCGAAATCGTCGTTGCAATATCANCTCTGGTACGTAAACTGTCTGTGTGTGAAAACNATATNGCTTGAAAAACGCGTTTTATATGCAGTTCGCTCTGAATACGCCTGATAGTGCTGCACCGGTAGAAAATGTTGACAAACCGCGACCCACCGATTTTGATTAAATCCCTCGTAACGTTGCAGAGAGAATGTAAATAAGTCTAACGTGTTTCCCGACCAATGTCATATGTTGTCGTACGTGAGAGAGAAGGGNGGAAAGGAAAACTTGTTTTATATGGAAAAGCACGCGAAAACGCACACGAATAAACTTCTGCGAATTGTTTGAGCTTCGGGCAATAGAAACTGGTTGAAGCTTAAAAAATAAAAAGAATCGCATTTGTGTGTCGCGTAAAACTTTGTTGTTCGGTAAGGATACGATTTGTCGCGCCGCGAATAAATCTGATGCCACACCGATGGCAAAAGCCGCCGGCACCGGATTNATACAGTTTAGANACTAGGCNGAAAATCAGATCACATTTTGACATCGTAATGAATGATATCGAAGATCGAAAATAGCTTGAAATTTGAAGTAGCGCGCGTAATTTCGAAATACATAGAGAAAATTGATGTTGACAGTGACGTAGACAGTGGTCAACGTTCCGAAAGCGGCGGCGTACATTCGAATAGCATTACGGCAATCAATCAGACCGCTATTAGCTTGCTGCAATCAATCGTTACGTTTGATAGCNTCACTTCGCCGGCTATGCAGAAGTAAAACTAAGTTTCCGCCACCGCAATCTATCGAACGGCTGTTTAAATGTCAATGACGTGGCTCGCGTTAATTGCGAAACGAGACGCGAGAGTCGCGCGAAGCGGCTTTTTGTGTTTCAAGTGAATGAAAAAAAAAAAAAACATGTTTTGACGCCTCGTTTTTTTTTTTTTTTTTAAATAGCTCAAAATGATATACACGACAAATATTTCGTCGTATTTTATACTTTGTCTTTTCGCAGAAAAAGATTTATTGCAGTAGCTATTGTATATAGCTTTTACACGAACAATTTTTTTTTTTGCATTGTTTCATCGCAGAATTATATATGAATTATAGACGTATTAATTTCTCTCTCTCTCTTTCTATCTATCTATCTATCTCTTACACACATATACACATATTTTTCGAGAGATATAAATACCAACAAAGACAAATTATGCTAAGATATACTTTTTCATGAATTACGTGTTGTTTACTGTATTTCAAAAATATTTGCGAAAACGCGATCTGTTGGAAATGGTAAATTGGTCTCAGCCGCGTTAGACTAGAAAATGATAGACAGTGTCAATATATCATCGTCTCCGGTTACATTAGTGTAACAGTGAGTGTAACGTGTTTATTGAGTACCTAGATTCTATCGGTGAAACCGATATCGAGTCTAGAGATTAATGATTTGTTCGTAATACGCTTGACAAAATGCGATCAGCTTACAGAATCATTGAGAGCTTACAAACTATCCGCATCGACAATTTCCAATCAGTTTTCCGTAGCGGATCAATTGCGCGCATATTACATCTATCAAAAAGTAACACGAAAAACTTGCACAAACTAAACTAGATATCCTAATATCTGTAAAATATTATCGAGAATATTTATACAAGAACACAATTAATATCAGATTGGTTACATGTAAAGTTTTAATGTGTTTTCCTATTATAATGTGTGTGTGTGTGTGATTTTCGATTAATATTTAAACTAACACTCACATTGTGCGTGTATTGATTATAGACTGGAATTGAAAAACGTAAAGCAGTTGAAAAGTTGATAAAGGATACTGGAGACTACACCGAAAAGGCTTATTATAGAGACGAGAATTTTTTCCTCTATTTGAGACCAACAAAAGCCGACCAACAATTAGTAGAACAGCACACCGACGTGATAAAGAAACGCGGCTTGGAAAGAATTTATGATGTTAGCCGAGGTACATGGCTGTACTACAATCTGTCTGATCAAGATTTTTAAAAATTATATATATTTTCAAAAAATTAATATAATTATGATTATAATATTGATTATGTAAGAAACAATTTTTTGAATATTATGAAATCTCCTGTTCAAACGCACACATTGAAGTATTAAAGCAAAAACAAAACCAAAAACACGCGCGACTCTTGGCGTTTTAATATTTATTTGTGTTGAAAATAATCTAACAGTGTTGCGAATAAAAGATGAGCAAGTGTGTAACGCTCGCGAAAACAGTTGTAAGCGCGGTAATCCTCACCAGAAGTTGCGGCATTAAAGTGACTTCGTGAAGTCGAACTTTTGCGCGTTGCAAGAATGTCGCGCTGCNAATCTCTGTCGTGTGTGTATCCGTGTAATCCGTCGCAGTGCGGAGACTCACGGCGCGTGCTTAAATTATGGCAGCCGGCTATCAACATGCTTTCGCAGCAAAATATGCGAACGTTACGGCGGTGATAAAGGACGTGGCAGTGGCCAAATCCGACCGCACTATTAGTTTCTCTCGCGAAAGCAGAGCGCGGCAGACGCGTATGTATGTATATAGGTACACATATACATACATATATATTTACATACGTATCTACAGCTACACAGTTACTCCTCGGTGAAATCGGACTCGTCCAAAAGAACTTTAAGTTTAAAATCTCCATATTTTAGAAGTTTATCAAGCTTCTTTTCATGTTTCCACGTTCATTCAGCGCGATGTATTTATCTATTTAACGGGGACGCGCGTTTCCCCTTCCTCTCTCGTCAGTGGAAGAGCTCCATAATTTGTCAGACAGCGCGGCATATAATCGCGAAAATGTTTAACTCTACGAGGTAATTAGTAAAGATAGATTTTTTTCTCAATTCGTATCGGAAAACACGAGTTGATCGGAGGAACTTGCGTCTCCGCTTTCTCGATTTATCTATATATATATATATGTCGATAAGACGGCACCTCGCGCGGGTCACGGATTGCAACCGTACCGCAACACATACGTCAGTTGAACGTTTACCTTTCGCACAAGCGGCGAGCTTGCATTTGCGTATGGTAACTCCCATTTGGAAACAATGTTTCTCTAAGCTATGCTTCGCCCGCGGTGCAGTAGTTTGCGGTTTTACTGCGGTCTGTTTCCGGCTAAAGTAACAAATGAAAGCATGATAAACCGACGAAAGGTCCTCCCGTTTTCCAAATGACGCAATAGTGTTAATTGTTTTTCGAAATTTCATTTTTCAGATGTTGAACAAAACAAAAATCTATCAGATCTATATATAGAAATTTTTAATTGTAGTATCTTAATAAAAACGCGCACGTATATTTGTGAAAAAATAATTACAGCAAAAATTTATTAATGTAAAGCCTTCTTCTGGTGCATAAAAAACTCTTTCATCCTATTAACATTGAACACATAACTTCACAGAGTTTGCATAGTTTTATTAGATTTATTAAACGTAACGTTAAAACGCGCTTATGAAAACTAGACTATCGCAAATATAATCGTAGTTATTGTTATCTTTTGAGAGTAAACTCCAGCTTTATAACAATGTATCTTCTTGCGAAAAGCGCGAGATGCACAAAAACTGTGACAATGTATATTTCAATCCGCACGATTTTCTTCTAAAATCTGCATTCCGAATTCAATATATTTCAATCGTACCTTGTTGTCAAACGCATTCCGCTGCCGATATCAGAGAACCGCCGACAAAGGAAATGGCGATTTTCATCGGACAGACAATATGCTATATTTCCCGCAACGACGACGGAAGGGGAGATACGCGCAGAATGGACGTGCCTCAATAATCTATATGGTTTTGTGCGAGAGAAGTTCGCGTTTCCCCGCGCGCGCGTATCATTTCAGATAATCATACGAACGCGTGTAACAACCGAAAACAGCAGCCGGCAGTAAGTGGGTATAAATAATGCTAAGTTCCGTCCGGTCGTCCGCAACATGAACGCGCATTCGTCACCAAATGGAACCTTGTCATCTTTTCTGTATCTCACGTCGACGCCGCGCATCTGCGGTTTACATGTATTTTACATGAGTTTATCTTTTCCTACCAAAAAAAGTGTGTGCAAATAACGTTTCTAGGATGTGTTTCTCAATTCATGCCGTAGTGCCTCTTATACGCGAAATTCATGCGATTGAAAAGTGAGGAGATTTTCATAGAGCAATAACTTGAAGACGACTGAACCGATTTTGTTACAGTTTAATGACCTTTGACGAGAGGTCAATGATCTTACTTTAGTCACGGTTTTAAAAACACGTGAAAATAAAGTTTAGTCACGTGACTGTAGTTACGTATTGTTTTTTTTTACTTTTTTCCCACTATTTCGAATTTAATTTTTATGCGTTATGTTTGACATCGCTCATATGGATTACATTATATAGTTTGTAATACATATATACTAGCTGTTATCCTGGTGACAGGCTGTGTTCACTGACACAACACGTCAAAATAAAAATAACAATAGCGTACGCGTAGCGCGCGCCTGTGTTGTGTTAGTATTATAAATAAGAGAACCGGGACACACAAGGTGTCTCACCTGACTTAGCGAGCCAACTTTCATCCGGATTTTCTGACCGCTTCGATTCGTAGTCTCACGCGGCTGAAATATTGAGGTATCGATTAAATCGCGATTTGTCAGAAAAAATATCAAGTTTGTTTGAAGTAAATATTTTTATTAATTTTTAACCAAATTCNAAATGTTTTTAAAAGAAACTATTGGATTGAAAAGTAATCGAAAGATTTATTAGGCAACATGTATCTTTTGATGAAATATTCTGAAAACACACGCACCGTTGTGTATTCAACTGAACGGTGTTAATAACGTGTCAGCGTTCGACATTAATATGGATAAGAGAGAAGAGAGAAAAGGAGAAGTAACGTGATGCTTCAGCGCGATGAAATCTAATATAACACGAAGAAGTATCTGGGGATCTATAAAGCGACACACGCTATAAGCTTCATCGGTTTCAAGTATCAGTGTAACATTATCGTGGCATTTCATAATGAGTCTCAATTATTAACATTCAGCTCGAATTTTGAGATGATGACTCGAGCTCTTCTCATTCATCGNTTAATGGATTTAATCTTTTTGCCGTCAAAAGTAAAACTCCAGTAATTTCGAACGTCACAATTTCGACTTTCCCATTTAGTCCAGTCCAATAGGTTTTCATTTGCAAATGATCAAGGAAAGTTGATATTTGATACAGTTCTTGTTCTTTTTATATCTCTATTGAATGGACTAATTATGGACGGACTAATAGTTTTCCTCACTATTAATGATTCTTCAATTTTTCCGTTTATTGAGTGACTGCGCAACTCGTAGAATGCGCACGTCTATTCTTGCTCTAAGAGTCTAAGAGAAACATCTTTCGTCTCTTGCTACCAGTCGGTCGCTAACTGGAAGAGAAAGAAAATAAAAAATGTTCAGAGACAGCAGTCATTTCTTAGAGATCTGTTAAAAAGCAAAAAAGTATTATAAAAAATAGAAAAAAGAAATAATTATTATTTAATAGTTGTTGCTCCTCGCAAAAAATTTAACATAATACATATTGATCGTGTGCCTCAAACATCAAGGAATGGTAATGGAGAAAATAATTTAATAAGAGAGCAACGAGAGGTCGAAAGAGGTCAAAAAGTACTGTAATTATAATAAATATTTGATAAGAGAAAATGATAAATAATTGCAGTAATTTATTAGTGAGAGAGATAGATAAAGAGAGAGAAAGAGAGAGAGAGAGAGAGAGAAAGAGAGAGAGAGAAGGAGGACTAAACTTACATGCGATAGGGAAGATTCCAAACTAGAAGGACGGGTCATACAGAAGTTTTTCCGCAAATTGAATTTATTAACTGAACAAGTACGGGTCGTGAATACTAAACCGCAGTCCAGTTGTACTTCGCATCATAAGTTAGGCATGACGTAGTATGCCGGAGATGAAACTAGAAACTTAAGCNCGTGGTGAGACTATATCTGTTATCGCATTATTGTTGTGCATTGTATTCGGAATTAACAGTCGCACAATTTATGCAGTATCATTTAAAAGATTTCTTATNAGATAATATTAAAAAAATTCTTAATACTGAAAAATTTTATTATAGAAGATTGATAGAAATATTACATATTAGAATGCAAGAAAAAACGGTGTCAATTTGATGAAAGATACTGTATCACTTGATCGGTATACGTTCCGCTGATCAATAAAATAAATAGATAGATTTACATTAGAATTGTCCGTTGAATTTTCTTTATTTACCTAAATTTGCCTAAATTTGCGATATTTCTTTTGCGGTTTCCCTATCTCGCATTTGTACAAACAAATCTGTATTGTAATATTACAAAAACATGTGTCAAATGATATAATTCGTAAAATGAAAAATAGCTTCCTTCAAATTTTAAAAGCGCGCCATTTCGTAATATCATACTTTTTACAATAACATACCTTTTACAATAAGAAAATTACATTATGACGATTTTTCTCCTGAATTTACGTAGAATTTCTTTGAAGAAGGTTACATTATGCTGAATTCTTTAATCAGCTTGACGATAGCGCGTTGGAGGGTGAGTCCCTTGGCCATTCATACAAACTTGGACGACTAAACGACCTGTCAGAGATCTTGAGATGTCGAGAAGAGAGAAAACCTCACCGCGAATGGCTGGCACAGCATGATGTTCCACTTAGATGAGATATTCGCGCGAGTTAGGGAATGTGCTATCGCGTAGAGCGCGCGTATAAAAATCGATCTAGGCGCGTTCTGCTTCTCTTGCTTTTCGTAAAAACAGCGCAAGAAAACGGTTTCATTCTAATATCACAACGTCGAGCTTTTTCTTTACGCGTAAACTTATGCGAAATGATTTCTCCAATGAAACTGATCAATTTAATAGAACTTACCGAGAAAAAAACAAGAGAAAAATACACTTAATAAAAAAAAAACAAAAAAACAAAATCGTTAGAATTTTTTGCGTTTGAATTAACATTGACTCTAAAGTTTTTGTCGGAAAGTATTGACGCAAAAGA